TTGCCGTTGCCTCCACTGTCGAGGGGAAGAAGAGATGCGCCACCACCATCAACTGAAGCCACTCCCACCGCCATCAGCTCCGTTCACCGCTCCGTTCACCGCCATCACAATTGTCATCTAATCAGAACAATAGAGCTAATCAAACCAAACCAAAAAAATAATAATAAAAATCAACCAAAACCAATCAAATCAAAACCTAAACTTAAAAAATATATTAGGATATTAAAAACCCTAATTTTCCTTTACCAACAGAAGATGATGGCCTCTGATAACCTCACAAAACACGCAGAAAAGCAATAAAAAAAGGGAGTTTGATTTAAAAAAAATCTAAGAAAGGAGTGAGAGAAAGGGGGTGAAGAAATAGAAAAGAAAAAGAAAGGGTTTTTCAGTTTTTGAGAAGAAAAAAGGAGAGACTCGGTTTAGAAAGAATAAAGGAGAGAAAAATCGAAAAAATAGAGAAAACAACAGAAAACAAAAGAGAAAAAGAAAAAGGGGTTATTCGAAAACCAAAAACGAGAAAAAAAGGGAGGCAAAAAGCCCTTACCTTTCTCTTGAACGTCGGCCACTGTCGGTCCACCAAGGTAAACCTTCACCCATAAATATCGCTTAGGCTTTATTTTGGGGGGGGGGGGTTGTTTAGGAGGTAGTATGTGGGGGTTTGGCTTTAAGAGCATTTCGGCTTCAGTATTCCCCACAACAACCGCCGATCTACGGCGGCCTTGAGACTTCCTTTTCTCACGGTGAGAAAATGATGAGGTGAGAAAAGAGAGAAAATTGAGAAATGGGGGGATTGTACGACTGATTGAGGAAATTAAATGGGGATTAAGGTTTCCTTAAAGCCTATAAAAGGGTATTTAAGTGGGTCATGAAACATCATCGTTTTGGGCTCTAGGGCAACCAGCAGTTTCGCGCATGGGTAAACCACGTGGGGGTCATCCTGGTTTTTAGAAACTTCATTTTAGTTACTAAACAAGAATTTTCAAGTTTACGTTTTAAGCTCTTTATTTTGTTAGCTTTATATTTTAGTCATTGTATGTATAGTTGATGTTATTTGGGTAAATTATTCGAATGGGTCTTTAAATTTGTCAAGTTGTAATTTTAATCCCTTTTAATATGTTATTAAAGTTTCTGATTTTGCCTCTATATTTCGTGTGTGCTATAATTTGGTCACCTTGAGTTACTGACTTTTATTTATTTTAATTTCTAGCTTGGAACTTTAAATATGTTTATTTTGGTCCTAAATATATTGGTTTATTACATTGTCGGTTCTTGTAATGTATGGTTTTCGTATTATATGTTATATATTTACTTGATTTGCTGTCGTGACACTAAAGTTTTCATTTTTGTTATTTAGTCCTATACTTGCGTAATATGAATTGCATGCGTTTTAAAATTTTGTCCATATATAAAATATATATTGGTATCATTAAATAAATACTTTTGCAATTGGTTGTATAAGTTTAGGTTTTAGTTTTAATTAATTTTCATGATATCCTATTAAGTGACGTGACTCGAATCGAAATAATTTGACTAAGGGTAATATTCATTCATTTTAATATTATTGTGAAGTGACTGTATTAACATATAAGAAAGTTACTTTCGATAATTTTAAAATGAAAATGTATCCCATTAAGCGACACGAATAAAATTTATTACTTTTAAAATTTGGAACTGAGAAAAAGTTTATGTTCTTTTAATTAAATTCATCGAGAAAAATCTGTTAGATCGAATCTAAGGTCTTGTCTCGATGTATTTAAATAATTGAACATCCTTATTTTCATTCAAGGTTGGTAAAATAATTAATTAATAATATTTGTTAAGTGTTTGTATTTAATTTTTGTTTTATTTTGTGTGTGTTTTAGTATGATTTCGAAAATGAATTGCATTAGAATTAATATTGAATTTTAGGATGAAATAGTTATATTTATTTATTTCAATTGGAGTAATAAATGTCAGCTTTAAGGCATGTGAGGTCACTTATTCTCGATTGAAAATAATTAGATATTATCATTTTCCCTCTTAAAATTCAAAGAATATGTTTTAAGAAAGAAGGTCTTAGAGTTATTTTGTTTGATTGTATTGTTATTTATACGCTTAATTTTTGAATTAATAATGAACTTTATGATTGAATTGTAATATTCCTTTATTTCGATTGGAATAAGAATCAACTGGTTTAACCATGAAAGGTCGATTCTTCTCGATAAGAAATAATTAAATATTATTATGTTTCGTCCTAAAATTCAAAGGATATTATTTGTATAGGATCTTAAATTAAATTAAATTTGAACTTGTAAATTTCATTGCAAAGATAATTAATTAATCGACTAGGTACCAATATAGGACATTGTGGGGGTAATAATCATTCCCTACGCCTAACTGACTCTCGAACTCAAATTTTGGTAATGCAGACCTTATATTTGTTGTTTTAATTAAAATTAATATTTTTTAAAATGACAAATATGTTCGGGTGCCCAATCACACCCTAATCAAATATTGGTGGCGACTCCTCGAATCACGTTTTATTATTAACATGTCACTAAATTATTCAGAACGAGATCTTTTAAAAATTACCTTTTAAAAATTAATTTTTTTTAAGAAAAATTGTTTTGACACTATTGGTCCAAGCAATGTTTATCCAAAGATTCATCTACACACTAATCCTCTTTCATGAATGCAATCTTTGCCCGATAAAATATTAATTCAAAAATTAAAATAATAATAAAATAAGGGATTTATTATTAGATAGAATGAATGAAGCAAAATAAATATGAAATTAAAATAGAGAAACGAAATTGTTTACTTATATGTAGACATGAAATCAGATGATTAGAGTTGAATAAATAGAAGATTTTTTTTATTGAGGTCTATATAAACAGTTTTCTTAGGACATATTTGTCCTCTCCTTAATCCTTTGAGTAACTTTGAACGTCGGTTTCCTAGGATATAACAACAAATAATCACAACATTAAGCACAACAGTAGTGAACATTCGAACACAATCTTAGATTTATCTATCTGGTAGACGTGATGTCCTTGAACTATCATATTGTTTGTGTAAGAGACGACATACCTCATGCAAACATATCCTTAAAAAGAATTTGGTTCTCATGGTTATGTCTATATAGTCGTGAACATCTCCTAGTTTTGTATGGTCTTAGAGAACTATGTCACAATAGTCTCTTTGAAGTGGTTTCTCTTCACTCTCATATAGACGACTTATGTTATTTAGTTCACTGAAATATTAGTGTGATTAAAAGCATTGCTTAATACTTCACATTTTAATCACTTTTTTCATCATAGGAAATGACTTGGATAAGAACATTCACAAGGTCTATGCAAGTAGGTTGTCCCAATGAACTTAGTTTTTGGAATCTCTAGTAAACTAGGTTGGGTCTTCCTTCACATAGTGTCTTAATAATTCATGGGTTTCGGTCTCATTTCTCTTGATTTTTTTTATCAATTTGATCTCAATGAACCCTTTGGTTAGTGGATAAGCAATTTTATCTTTTGATCTTACAAAACCAATTGAGATAACTCTAATTTAGATTAATTGTCTAATGGTATTACGTCGACGACGCATGTGTCTTGACTTACCATTATACATTGCGTTCTATGCTCTACCAACTATTTTTTGGTTGTTACAATATACACATATTTTTGGCACAAGCTTTGAGCATTCAGGAATATCCTCTAAAATTTTGTATAACGATTGTAACTCTTCTATATATTTGTTTAGAGCTATAAACTCAAATTCTATCTTGGACTTGGTGAGTATTTTCATGGCAACTCTTCCTCTCATTGTGAAAATATAATTATATGTACCTTTTGTAACACTCTATACTCAGTGGCGGATTTAGAAATTAAAAAGTGGAGATCCAAAATTATAATACTATCTAATAAAAAATTGGGTATGTAAATTTCCTTTTTTTTTCTATTTCCATTAACAAATTAAACTAAATTTAATTTTTTCTCAAAATAATGGGTGTGTAAGTACTACCCTAGGGAGCCATATGGATGCTTATACTCAACCACATCGGATGGTCCAAATATTCTAACTGCATATTAGATTTCGAAGTGAATTCGGCAAAACAAATCCTAAATCATACTTACTAAGTAGAAATGATTTAAAATTTAGAAAACACAACAGCAGAAACGTCCAATCAACATGCCTCAAACAAACAAATAACATGCTTTGTAAATCACTCATATTTAAACATAGGAGCAAAATGGTCATTTCATGTACATACATAAATTCATTGAATAATACAATAATTAATCCTGTCAATATTCATTACTACACACATAGGTTTCCAAAAGCTCTCATATTGTCTCAATTCTCAATATAAGGTTCAACGTACACTTTAAAGTAAAAAGGGTTGCTTAATCACCGCTTAGTGCTCGACTCTCGCTCCTCCAATCGACGACTAATCTTTTGCAAAATATTAAATAATGAGTGTAAGCTAAAGAACTCGATGAATGACTAATCATTCAAGCATGACGCCAAGCATGACGCAAAGCATGACGCAAAGCATGACGCATACATCAAGACTAAATGAGAGCATCCTGTATCCCATGCACTTGTTCTTACCTTAAATGTTCATACTTTATTTTTCATGCTTCAATGTCCATGCATTGCATATTTAATGCATCAGAATCAGAATATAATCATGCCCATTAAGTCATAACATGGCTGCTAAGAACACATACAAAGTCCATGCATCGGAATCAGAATATAATCATGCTTCAATGTCCATGCATTGCATATTTAATGCAATCACTTTGATTGTGAGTATAGGAAGATGGTCATTCATCAGCGTGGGAGACCACCCAAAGTGCAGGGAAATGGGGGGTTAAACAAGTTGAATCGGAAAGGGAAGGGATTGATCAATGTAATAGCAAGGTAAAAAGAAGGTGTGCTCCGTAAGCGAGGAAGAAAATGAACTTATCATCCTTAAAAGAACAGTTCAAAAGAAAAGGGTTGGATAAAAGAAGCCAAAAGGGGATGATGGTGAAACGGAGGATGCTGGACTAGTTAAAAAGAAGCTTCATGAAGAGGAAAACTCTGATGGTGCATTACAAAGGGGAACACATTTGTCATGCAAGATGCGTAAGCTACAGTAGACACAAAAGAGAAAGCAGTATGCTTCGTTGACCCGCAACTCGATGGATGGAGATGGGTATGATAATGATGGTTAAATACTATATGATGAAAGATGGCCCTGCTTTCTTGGATGATTGATTCGGGAACTGTTCCACAAGATGGGAAAGTGGGATGTTTGATTCAAAAAAGAATACGTACTCGTGAAAGTAAGTCTGGTAGGATAACTAGGGATGGAATCGAATGCAACTGTTGTAGTAATGTCTTCACCGTTGCAGAATTTGAAATTCATGCGGGGAGCAAAGTTCATCAACCTTTTCAGAGTATATGTTTAGACACAGGAGTTTCCCTGTTGCAATGCTTATCAGATGCATGGAAAAGACGACAGTCTGAACGTAAGGGCTTCCATTTTGTGGATTTTTGGTGAAGACCCAAATGACGATACCTGTGTTGGATCATAAACTTGATCCATTATGGGAGCCTAAACCCAAATCCAAACTAAATTGATGTCATTACTTACATCATTTAATTAAAGATGTCATTGCTTACATCATTTAATTAATGATGTCATTGCTTACATCAATTTAGTTAGGTGAGAGTTAGATATTTGTTGAATTTGTAATGGTTTAAATTAGTTTATTTGTGTGGTGTAGGATTGTTCTTGAGTAGTATAAATACCCCTTCCCATTTTAGTTTTAAGCATCAAGAAAAATTAAGAGTTTCTAAGTGAGTGAAGATCAAGCAAAGTCTTATAAGAGTGAGTTATAGTTCTTGTTTTTGAGTGAGAGTACTCTTGTAATATTTGTTTGAGTTTCAATAAAAGTTGTTTGTGTGAGTGTTTTATTTCCAACAAAGTGGCATCAGAGCGAGTTGGAAAGATCGAAGGTCTCGACGAGAGGAATCCGACGCCGCCAAAATTTTCTCAATCTGAGTTCTGACGCACCGCCGGAAGATTGCTGCCAGAAAATCGAGTTGACTCACCGAGTTGAGCCGAGTTAGCCGAGTTGGAGCCCTTGACCGAGTTGTCCAAGTCCCTCCAAAGTTTTTTTTTTCATCGTTCCGGATTCATCCGTGCAATCGGATTTTACAAAATCTCATTATATTGAGAGATATGGCAAATGGTATGGCACCATTCCATGTTCCGACACTCAACAACAATAACTACGACAATTGGAGTATCAAAATGAAGGCACTTCTTGGATCACAAGATGTGTGGGATATCATAGAGAAAGGCTATAACGAGCCTGCGGATGATGATGCTTTTGCTACTCTTACACCAGATCAAAAGATAACTTTGAAGGATTCAAGAAAGAGAGACAAGAAGGCTCTCTACCTCATCTATCAAGCATTAGATGATGATGGTTTTGAAAAGATTTCAAGTGCAAGCTCTAGCAAGGAAGCGTGGGAGAAGCTGCAAACCTCTTACAAAGGATCCGAGCAAGTGAAGAAGGTTCGTCTCCAAACATTAAGAGGTGAATTCGAATCCTTAAACATGAAAGCATCTGAGTCTATTTCAGATTATTTCTCAAGAGTAGTAGCTGTTTCTAATCAATTAAAAAGAAATGGTGAAAAGTTAGACGATGTGAGGATAATAGAGAAGATACTTCGTTCGTTGGATCCCAAATTTGAGCACATCGTCGTGACGATTGAAGAAACTAAAGACTTGGAAGAAATGAAGATCGAACAGCTCCAAGGATCATTGCAAGCATACAAAGAGAAGCATAAAAAGAAGCATGAGTTTACTGAGCAACTCCTCAAGCTGCAACTCAAGGATATGCATGAGAGCCAACGCAATGATAGAAACCAACGTGGCCAAGGCAGAGGTAGAGGCCATGGACGAGGTGGAAGTCGAGGTCGTGGACGAGGCTGGAATTACAACAATAACAATTCCAACAACAACTATGAGAAAAGAGAAAGCTCAACACGAGGCCGTGGAAGAATTAATCCAAACTCAAAGTATGACAAATCTCAAATTCGATGTTATAATTGTCAAAAATTTGGGCATTATGCTTCAGAATGTAGAGCTCCCAACAACAAAATTGAGGAGAAGGCCAATTACGTGGAGGAAAAGACAGATGGCAAAGAAACTCTTCTTCTAGCACGAAAGGAACTGATGGTGGCCAAGCAAATTCCTGGTATCTTGACAGTGGTGCAAGCAATCACATGTGTGGAAGGAAAGACATGTTTGTGGAGCTAGACGAGTCAGTAAGTGGAAATGTTTCGTTTGGAGATGATTCCACAATAGCAGTGAAAGGGAGAGGTAACATTCTTATCCGTTTGAAAGATGGGAGACATCAATTTATTTCAAATGTCTACTATGTGCCCAATATGAAAAGTAACATTTTAAGTTTAGGGCAACTGGTAGAGAAAGGTTATGATATTCATATGAATAATTATAATCTTTCTATAAAAGATGATAAGAATAACTTCATTGCTAAAGTGCCGATGTCAAAGAATAGAATGTTCTTGATCAACATACAAAATGATGTTGCAAAGTGCCTGAAAGCTTGCTACAAAGATGCATCATGGCTTTGGCATCTTCGATTTGGGTATCTCAATTTTGGAGGTCTAGAGCTATTATCTAAGAAGGAGATGGTGAAAGGACTACCTCACATCAACCATCCTGACCAGCTCTGTGAAGGGTGTCTAGTCGAGAAACAATTCAGGAAAAGCTTTCCAAAGGAGTCAGAGACAAGAGCTAAGAAGCCACTTGAGCTCATCCATACCGATGCGTGTGGACCGATCAAGCCAAGCTCTCTCGGTAACAATAACTATTTTCTTCTCTTCATTGATGATTTTTCAAAAAAAAAACTGGGTATATTTCTTGAAACAAAAGTCAGAAGTTTTTGAAGTCTTCAAGAAGTACAAAGCAGCAGTGGAGAGAGAAAGCGGTAGAAAGATCAAAGCCATGAGATCCGATCGAGGTGGAGAATTTACTTTCAGGGAGTTTCAAGAGTTCTATGAAGCAAATGGAATTCGTCGACCAATGACAGTTCCTAGATCCCCCCAGCAAAATGGTGTGGCAGAAAGAAAGAATAGAAAAATCCTCGACATGGCACGAAGCATGCTCAAAAGCAAGAAACTACCCAAAGAATTTTGGGCGGAAGCAGTATCGTGTGCAGTCTACTTGTCAAATCGATCTCCAACAAGAAGTGTATGGGGAAAGACACCGCAAGAGGCATGGAGTGGAAGAAAGCCTGGCATTTCCCACTTGAGAACCTTTGGAAGTATAGCCCATGTTCACGTACCAGACGAGAGAAGAATGAAGCTTGATGATAAAAGCGAGAGTTTTATCTTCATCGGCTATGATGCTAATTCGAAGGGCTACAAGTTGTACAATCCAGACAATAAGAAGTTTGTGATTAGTCGAGATGTGGTCTTCAACGAAGAAAGAGAATGGGATTTTAACTCTCATACAGATGACTTCAATTTCTTTCCTCAGTTTGAAGAAGATGAGCAGACAATGAGGGAGCAACTAGATGAATCTCAACAAGAGCTTGCAACTCCACCCACTTCACCAACATCAACCACTCAAGGAGACTCATCACCTTCATCATCGTCAAGTGGGAGTCAAAGTGAAAGAGTTGTGCAACGCACAAGAAGCCTTAGAGATCTCTGTGAGGTAACTGAACGACAAGATAATCTTACATTATTTTGTCTGTTTGCCGATTGTGAACCAGTGAGCTTTCAAGAAGCGGTACAAGAAAAGAAATGGAGAGATGCGATGGACGAAGAAATCAAGGCCATCGAGAAGAATGACACATGGGAACTTACCTCACTTCCCAAGGGACATAAGGCGATAGGTGTCAAATGGGTGTACAAAACAAAGCAAAACGCCAAAGGAGAGATTGAAAGGCACAAGGCGAGGCTAGTTGCTAAAGGCTATAGTCAAAAGGCTGGAATTGACTATGATGAGGTATTTGCTCCTGTTGCTCGATTGGAGACTATCAGACTAATCATTTCTTTGGCAGCTCAAAACAAGTGGAAGATACAACAGATGGATGTAAAGTCCGCCTTCCTAAATGGAGTTCTTGAAGAGGAACTTTACATTCAGCAACCATCAGGCTATGAAGTCAAAGGGCATGAAGACAAGGTGTTGAAGTTGAAGAAGGCTCTTTACGGGCTAAAACAAGCACCAAGGGCATGGAATAGCTGAATCGACAAGTACTTCCAATAGAATGGCTTCAACAAATGTCCCTACGAGCATGCTCTATTTATCAAGATCAAAGATGAAGATATTTTGATCGTGTGCCTCTACGTGGACGATTTGATCTTCACTGGAAGCAACCCAAGCATGTTTAATGAATTCAAGGATGTGATGATGAAAGAATTCGAGATGACAGACATGGGGCTCATGGCGTACTACCTTGGCATTGAAGTTAAGCAACAAAATGATGGAATTTTCATTTCACAGGAAAGCTATGCAAAGGAGATACTGAAGAAGTTCAAGATGGAGAACTGTAAGCCAATAAGCACACCGGCAGAATACGGGATCAAGATGACCAAACATGAAGAAGGCGAAAGTGTAGATCCAACATTCTTCAAAAGTTTGGTAGGAAGTCTACGCTATCTAACTTGCACGAGACCCGATATTCTTCACGCAGTTGGATTGGTTAGTCGCTACATGGAATCCCCAACAACCACCCATTTTAAAGCCGCAAAGAGAATTCTTCGCTATCTGAAAGGTACAATTGACTTTGGCTTGTTCTATTCAGTTTCTAATGATTACAAGCTTGTTGGATATAGCGACAGTGATTGGGGTGGAGACATAGATAATCGAAGGAGCACTACTGGATTCGTATTTTTCATGGGAGATATTGCATTCACATGGATGTCAAAGAAACAACCGATTGTCACATTGTCAACTTGTGAAACGGAATATGTTGCTGCTACCTCATGTGTTTGTCATGCAATTTGGCTTAGAAATCTATTGAAGGAGATTGGTTTGATACAAGAAGAGCCTACCAAGGTTTGTGTCGACAACAAGTCAGCCATTGCCTTAGCGAAGAATCCAGTATTCCATGATCGAAGCAAGCACATTGATATTCGCTGCCACTATATAAGGGAGTGTGTTGCAAGAAAAGATGTGGAAGTTGAATATGTGAAGTCACAAGATCAAGTTGCTGATATTTTTACCAAGCCACTGACCAGCGAAGACTTCTTAAGATTAAGGAACCTACTAGGGGTCACGAGATCAAGTTTAAGGAAGGGTGTTGGATCATAAACTTGATCCATTATGGGAGCCTAAACCCAAACCCAAACTAAATTGATGTCATTACTTACATCATTTAATTAAAGATGTCATTGCTTACATCATTTAATTAATGATGTCATTGCTTACATCAATTTAGTTAGGCGAGAGTTAGATATTTGTTGAATTTGTAATGGTTTAAATTAGTTTATTTGTGTGGTGTAGGATTGTTCTTGAGTAGTATAAATACCCCTTCCCATTTTAGTTTTAAGCATCAAGAAAAATTAAGAGCTTCTAAGTGAGTGAAGAAGCAAAGTCTTATAAGAGTGGGTTGTAGTTCTTGTTTTTGAGTGAGAGTACTCTTGTAATATTTGTTTGAGTTTCAATAAAAGTTGTTTGTGTGAGTGTTTTATTTCCAACAACCTGTGGTATTTGTGGGGATGGTGGTGATTTGATCTGTTGCGATAGTTGCCCATCAACATTCCATCAAAGTTGCTTAGGCTATAGAAGTAAGTCCTTGGGAGCTACTCACATGTACATTTCTCTTAAAATGTGTAGAATTCTTTAACACCTTACCCTTTTGAGGGGCGTTGTTGGCTACTTTTCATGTTTCGAAGTTGATCTTGAAGTTTCTGTTTTTCTAGTTGTTCGAGAGACTTCAGATGCTAGTTGGGGTTAAACATGGACTTCCAGAAGGCTTCTCATGGGCCCTTGTTCAGCGGTTCAATATCGGATCAGATGTTCGTCTCAATGAAGCATATCAAAAGGTTAAATCAAATTCAAAGCTAGCTGTTGCATTATCTGTGATGGTTTTATTTTCTTTAGCTTGGTGCTTTATGCATTGTTTTCGTTTTTCATTTCTTTTTCAGGTTTTGGCAACGATGATGTGTGCAGCAGAACTATCTTTCTTCAATAGCCCAGACCTAATCTGAAGTTAGATATGTCTGAGGGTGCATATGTTGTCAAAGAAAACTTATTTTACTGTATAGAAGTTTAGAGGTCTTTGTGCAATGCTACCCTTGTCCTAGGCCTGCAAATTTAGAGGATCTTAAATTGAATGAAGGAAACAACACTATATGTGTGTAGATAAAAACAATCTGAGCAGGCAACATATGCTTGATGTTTCATGTTTGATGTTTCTTCTTGTCTCCTAAGTTCAGGCCCTGAATGTCGAGAAAAAGAATTCATGAAATAATTTTTCATCTACGTTATTATCTATTCAAAATTACTTTTAAGTAATTATCCATTTCCTTTTTCTCTTTCTCTCCAACCTAAGTTTTATCTCTATATTTTTGTGTAGTCTTCCCTTTTATTTTGATTTTTATTTAGTTGACGACATCATCAATCTTAATATTGATTATCGACTGTCGGTAGGTGGTTATTATTTTTTTCTTGTTCTTTTTCATACTACGTCCTTTGTTTTTCTTTTTTTCCTTTTTTTGATTTTAAATAAGAAATTTATCATTGTGATACGTTTTTCTTTGCTCTTGTAGCACATTTCTTATGCCTTTTGGTAAGTTTTTTTTTTTTGCATACTTTTGTGATAGTGTTGGTGCTTGAACAGAGATCCTCACAATATTTATTTTTTGATTAGTTTGTCAATGATCACTTAGTATTGTCAGGTTTTTTTTGGGTAAAATGTTGTTTGCCCATATAATGAAAATTGTGTAGCGAAGTAATCTATCAAAGTGTTTGGTTTTCTCTTCGTAAAACGTTCCGTTCGACATAGACAATTTTTTTATGAAGGTTACTGATTTCATTTGGTGTTGGATGTCATTCTCAATAGAAGATTTTTTTGTTTTTTTTTTGTATCTTTGGGTTTAATATTTTCATTTCATGTATATATTTTTTACGACTATTGATTTTAATTTTCTTTTTGAATGTATTGTAATTTTGATTTATTTCATTATTTTTATTAATGGAATTCAATTGTTAATGTTAAAAAAAGTGTCCACTTCCATGTTTTATGGAAACAAATAGAATATTTGTCCTTGAAAAAAGTGACATGAAGAAAAAAATTGGATAAAATGAATATTTTTAGTGATTTAGGACCATAAATAATATGGCGAGGAAGTTCATATAATAAATTTTCTTATATATTTATAATTAATGAAACTGCTACATGTGTAAAAGTATAACAATAATTCAATTTTCCATCTCATCCTCCATACAAGCATAGAATGCCATAATTAAGTGGGGCTTATTCGAGGGCTTATTTAGCTAAAACAATAAGTATGAGGGCTTATTTGAATATAATGTTGTAGTTTGAGGGCTTTTTAGCCTTTTGATTATTTGGGTCAACTTTTATTCTATTTTTTATTTATTGTTGGATTAATTCCAGCAATTTCTAATTTTCAATTAAGGAGAAAAGGAGATTATGTGCAAAAATGGAGGGAAAATGAAAATGAAGAAGAGGGTACAATATGAAAAGACAAAATTACCTTTCAAACACGTTGGTTTTAGTACGCGTGTAACCAACCAACCAACCACTCAAATAAGCGGAAGTAAAATCAAAGCCCCCACACTTGAGCCCAAAATCCCAAATCTACCCCTCTCTAAACCCTCCACCTCTAAATAATCCCCCAAACGCCATTGGAGTGACCTTCTGCTTTCCATCTCCATAGTATAAAGCGACGCCGTGGCACGATACGATCCCGTTCAGTCGGCTGCATTGGGAGTAAGGTGCGTGATCACTTTCCGCCGGTTTTGATATGACTCTTTGGCACTTTCGATTTATGATTCTTTTCCATTGATTTCTTCTGGTTTTTAACTTCAGGGTCTTGAGTTTACAGTTTTAAGAGATCCTTTGTGGAGTTAGATTTTCTTTTGTCGAAGTGAAACCCAATGGGGCTTGTTTACTGTTTTGTGTTGGTATGTATCCGGTGAGATGATTTTTTGAGGATAAAAAAAGGGAGAAAGGGCACCTTTTTAATATAGGGTTTTGTAAGAGATGGAAGATGGACTAGGATCCAGCTGTTTTCTGTTTAAACCTGATGTAAGTGAGAGTTTGCTAAGGCATGACATTGACAAAAATACAGGTGAAGTGAAGCAACCGGTTCTTGATTTAAATGATGAGCCGTTAGGGTGTTCTTTGAAAGAAGTTGAATTTGATAAAAAGGAAGAGATTGAAGAATGTAGGGAAGATGGTGTAGTGGGTAATATGAAAGTTGATGAATTGAATGATGATGATGGGAAACATAAGGGATCGGTGGAGGATAAAGTAGATAGTAAACAAGCTAGTGTGAAGAAAGAAGTCAAGGAGGAAGGCTTAGAATGTAAATTGCAGTTCTCTGGCAGGGTTTTGCGATCAAGGTCTGCAGTGAAAACCGTGAGTGTGATCGAAGGTGATAAGGTTGAGCATAGGGTTGTTAAAACTGAAGATGGAAATAGTTCTGAGATGAAAACAGTTGAAGTAGTTAAGGAGGGGAATGATCAGTCTCATGGTGAGGTGAAGAATGCACACGGAAAGGTGGATGAGTTGGAAAAGCGTAAGCGTGGGAGACCACCCAAGTTTCAGGGGAAGAATGGGTTTGAGAAGAAGACACTTAAGCGGCAAGTAGGAGAGAGTTGCCCAGATGGTCAAGTCAGGAAGAAGCTCAAGCGTAAGCGTGGGAGACCACCCAAGGTATTGGGCAATGACAGGTATGCGAAGAAAGGATTTACTACTGAACCAAGGGAGAGGGGTCGCTTTGATGGGGATGTTAGTAAGGAGTCAAAGGGTAATCGCGGTAGACCACGGAAGGTGCAGGAGAATAGTGTGTTTGAGAAGAAAGGAATTAAAGTGGAAGCAGAAGAGAGTGATAAGTCTAATGTTGGTGACATTAAGATGTCAAGTCATAATCGTGGGCATGGCAGACCGGTAAAGGGGCAGAGGACTCAGGGGGTTGAGAAGGAAGCAGGAGAGAGTTATGACTCTGATGTTGAGGCAAGGAAGGCAGCAAACCACAAGCATGAGTCACCACCCAAGATGAATATCGATGATGGGGTTGAGATGACAGCTGTTGATGCAGAAATGGGAGAAGGCGGCCACTTTGATTGTGAGTCAAGGATGAAGGTCATGCGTCAGCGTGGGAGACCACCTAAAGTTCAGGGCAATGATGGATCACCGGATAAACGAGTTGAATTGGAAATGGAAGAGATTGATCAACGCAAAAGCAAGTTAATGGAAGGTGTGATCTGTAGGCATGCAAAACCAGCAAAGCTGCAGGGTGGTAGTAAGGGTTTGAAGGTTATTGATAGGAGAAAAAGGTTGGGTGGGCTAAGAAGAGGCAGAAAGAAGTTGAGGGGTAATTTAAAGTTTAATACGGCTGCTAATACTTCATATTCGGAGAAGAGATTGATTGAGAAAGAAGCAAATCTTAAGAGGTCTGCAAATAAGGATAGATTTGATGATATGGAAAAGAATGAGAGCAAGGCTTCCCTATCAGGGGATGAAAAGGGAGTAAAGAAAGTAGGGGATGAAGGTGAATTGAAAAGGTCAGAAGCAAAACAAGCTTTGAGAGATCGAATCGTGAATATGCTAAAAGCAGCAGGTTGGACAATTGATTACAGGCCTCGGAATAAAAGAGAGTACAATGATGCAGTGTATGTTAACCCTGAAGGAAAGACTCACTGGTCGGTTACTTTGGCCTACAAGGTGCTTAAAAACTATTATGAGAGTGGTGACTCTCAGACTTGCCCAAATGGCTTTGTATTTACTCCAATTCCTGAAGAAGAACTTAGCATCCTGAAAAGAATAGTTACGAAGAAACGGGCTGGAAAAAAGAAACCAAAAGGGGAGGATGATGATATGGAGGATGATGAGCAATTTAAAAAGAAAACGAACAAACGAAAAAGGAAATGGAAGGACAATGAGAAAAAGAAAAAACAAAAGCTACTGAAAAAGAAGCTTCATGAAGAGGAAAACTCTGATGGTACAATACAAAGGGAAAACCAAATGTCAAGCAGGAATCGTAAGCTACAGCAGACACAAAAGAGAAAGCAATATGCTTTGCTGGTCCGCAACTCAATGGATGGAGCTGAATCTGATAATGATGGTTATGTGCTATATGAAGGAAAGCGAACTCTACTTTCTTGGATGATTGACTCGGGCACTGTTCCACAGGATGCGAATGTGGAATATTTGATTCAAAAAAGAACACGTACTCATGAGAGTAAGTCCGGTAGGATAACAAGGGATGGCATCCAATGCAACTGTTGTAGTGATGTCTTCACCATTGCAGAATTTGAAACTCACGTGGGGAGCAAAAGCCTTCGACCTTTTCAGAATATATGTTTAGAAACAGAAGTTCCCCTGTTGCAATGCTTATTAGATGCATGGAACAAACAACAGCATTCTGAACGTAAGGGCCTCCATTTTGTGGATTTTGGTGGTGAAGACCCAAATGATGATACCTGTGGTATTTGTGGGGATGGTGGTGATTTGATCTGTTGCGATGGTTGCCCATCTACATTCCATCAAAGTTGCTTAGATATGGAAGTAAGTACTTGTTGCGATATGTCTTTATCATGGGCATATGGGATCTAGCTCCCTTCCCCAACTTATGCTCAGAGTTCCTTGTTGCAGGCTTTTGGAAAGGAATTTCTTTGTTGAATTTAATTCAATACAAATCATTTGTGAAAAGTAGCCAGAAGGAAACCTGTGTCCGAGTGTTCGATTTCTATGTTTTTTTCTTTTTGGGAGTTACATTTAGAAGTAAACTTTAGTTTCAGTGAAAATTTAAATCTTTATTGTACTTAATATACTCTTCTGATTTTATTTTCTCTGCCACAGGCATTCCCTTCAGGAAACTGGAACTGTGTTTACTGTACATGCAAGTATTGTGGGATGGTTGGAAATACACATCAAAGGGGAAAAGACGACGATGCAGTTCCTACAGTTCTAACATGCCATTTATGTGAAGAAAAATGTATGCCTTTGTTAAGTTCCAAGCTGTATTCTTTATATGTTGATTGCTGATTCCCCTTGACCTTTATTTTTAATTTTGGCGTCTTTATTATTGTTCTTGCTATAATATGCAATTCATTTCTTAAGGATTTTTTTTGGGGTAGATCACGAGCCATGTATTCAGCCAATGGATGCTTTTGATGACGATTCAAGTAGTGCATTCTTTTGTGGGAAGAGATGCAAAGAGGTATAATTTTAGTTTGCAATTGATATAATTGTGTCGAGGGGAATTTGTGGTGGTTTCCTAGATTTGTAAATATAATTTTAATTGCTATTTTCCACTTTCAGTTAAGCTATGCCTGCTGGTATGAAATGATTGTGATTCTCACTTTGTCAAATTAATGAGGGTTGTCTCTATTTCTTAACCAGGAGCCTAACTCTTAATCTTCTGTAGATGTTACAGTTATTGATTTCTGACACTAAATTGATCCAATTGTCTGCAATATGTTAAGCAAGAATGAAAAGGGAGCCCCATACTGTTTTCGTTCATTCAGCCGATTTCTGCCTCTCTTTGGGAGCTACTCATTTGCACACATGTTATGCTGGCTTTAAATTTGTAGAATTCATTAATACCTCACCCTTTTGAAAGCGGGGTTTGGGGGGTTTGGGCGGGGAGCTATTTTTCATGTTTCGGAGTTGATCTTTAAGGGTTTTTTTTTTCCTTTGGGTTCTTTCTAGTTGTTTGAGAGACTTCAAAAGCTAGTTGGGGTTAAACATGAACTTCCAGAAGGCTTCTCATGGACCCTTGTTCAGCGGTTTGAAATCAGTTCAGATCTTTGTCTCAATGAAGCATATCAGAAGGTTGAATCAAATTCAAAACTAGCTGTTGCATTATCTGTGATGGACGAGTGCTTTTTGCCTCTTGTTGACCACAGAAGTGGGATCAATCTGATTCATAATATTGTCTATAATTCTTGGTATGTGTTCCATATGTACTTAAGTCTATATTGCATTCTTGAAGAAAATTTTTCATTTCCTTCTACCTATGATGTGAAAAGTATGGTTTGAGCTTGTTGCTTGGTTCTGTACGCACGTCGTCATTTGTTTAATTTTTTTTGTGGGTTTTGCAACGTAGATATGAGTACTGCCTTTCTTCAATAGCTGTAATTTAAAGTTCAATACTCCAAGTAACCATATGTTGTTGAATAAAACGTTACCTTACTGCTTAGTAGTTTAAAGAACCCTTTGCAATGCTAATCTTTCCGTAGATCTGCGGATTTAGGAGACGTTAAATAGAATGATGGCAAATGGCTCTAAATGTGTAAATAAAAACAATCCAAACAGGCAACATATACAGTGATTGCTTGATGTGGCATTTAAACGTTATAATAGTTACTATAGCAGTATGAAATGTTTAAAGGCTTCCATTTTAACAGATTGCCCTGGGTCATTCTTTTTGTGGTCGAGTGGTACAATTCTTTCTATGTGAAAATCTGGGAGACAACATAATGCCTTTATTTATGGTGAAGTGGTATTTGATTTTTCTGCGCAACTATAGTTGCCGTGCTTTTGATATTGAATAAGACCAAGAACTTCTTGTTTGAGGTAAATTACTAATCTCCTTTTGTTCTCAGGTCAAACTTCACTAGGCTAAACTACAGTGGTTTTTACACTGCTATTCTAGAGAGGGGGGATGAGGTTATCGCTGCGGCATCCATTCGGTAATTCATTCGTTTTTTAGTTCATTGGGAATTATAGAATAGAATATGTGGAATTAATGTCTTTACACTTGAAGAGTTATAATATAAGATATCCATCTGGCCATGCCGACTCATCACTTTAAGCACTCTTGATCACCTTCCTTTTGTTCCTCTGCTGATAGCTTCTAGAAATTTACATCTTAAGCTATTTTGTTGTCTCCCCATCCAAAGAACAACTATAACCCGATAATATGCGAATATATTGAGACTGAAGATTTATTAAACTGCAGTTTTTTTCAAATTCATAAATACCTGGCGCTCGATTTGGAAGCATGAATTTGAAAATTTGGATTTCATTTGCTATGTCGATAGCAAGAATGAAATGCATACATTATGGAGAATAGATTCAATATAATATATTTGAAAAAGTATAAAAAGACATGGATTTATAAAATCCAAAATTATATTAGGCATTTCAAACTCATTACTCACTACTGTATATGCATTTAACAAATCCATGGATTTGAGAAATAATAATGAATGCTACATTTCTAAGTATTTTATTACACAATTTAAACCCAGATCATGCACTAATGAGCCTGCCCACTCACCTGAATGTTGTACTTGTTTGGCTTAATCCTAATGATTACAATTATTTAATTATGGGGCCAACAGGATCCATGGAAACCTGTTAGCTGAGATGCCTTTCATTGGGACGCGGTATTCTTATAGGCGTCAGGGGATGTGTCGTCGTCTTCTTTGCGCGATTGAATCTGTATGTCTGATTCAATGTTCTCTTTGTTTCTTTTTATATTTGCAATTTGTATTAATTACACTTTTTTTTCTCATTTTGACATTTACATGTTTATTTTATATGTATGACTAATGCTATACACCATGGCACTTCATGCCACAGTTTTTTTTTGGGGTGGGGGGGGGGGTGGATATTTAATAGTTAGATTATATTTTTCAAAAGAGAAAACATTAGGCTAGTTTGATTTTAATTAATCTATTTCACCTGGACCTCATTTTTTATGTTTCTTTTTCTTATCCCCTAATTTTTCAGGCCCTTAGCTCCCTGAATGTTGAGAAATTAGTCATTCCTGCAGTCCCGGAACTGAGGGAAACATGGACTTCTGTCTTTGGTTTCAAACCACTTGGAACTGCATGCAAGCCGAAGATGAGGAACATGAATATGCTGGTCTTTCCTGGTGTAGATATGTTACAGAAACCTCTGCAGACAAATGTTACGGAGGAGCCGATAACAGGTGATGTGTCCTATAAATCTGGAGAGAAGTGTTCGATTATGTTTGATCTGAATGTTTCTGATGAGAAGAGTCTTGCACCTGAAACATATGATGGAAATGATGAACCCACTGCTGTTGAATCTACAATGCCACTTCCTGATGACACCTCGAAACATACTTCTGATATAATGGCCGAGACCATCAATCTTCCAGAGGCTGCTACTGTTTCTTCATCTTGCATTCCAGCACCTGAAGACAGGAAACTGGAATTTGACTCGTATAGCGTATATTCGGAGGGGAAAACTGATGAAATCATTGTTAAACAGAGCCTTGATTCTAAGATAGAGAGTTCTGCCAAACACATTGATAATATCGTCCATGCTGACAATGAAGTTGCAGTTCACGTGTCAAGGGATTGTGATAAGGAAGTTGTTACCAATGGTTTCGATGGTACAATTCCGATATCTGAGGATGCAAATGGCGTGGAGCAGAATGAGCATTCGAAATTACTGATGGTAGAATGCATTTCTGGTTTTGGCAAGTCAGTCCTCGAGTCTGAAGAAGCAAAAATTTACCATGCTATTGCCGAAGATGCGACCAATCAAACTTCTCCATCATCTCCACGAAGTGCGCAACGTGCTGCAAATGGCCATCATGATGTTGCATCCAATGTCAGTCAAAGTAGTCCTTCCCGACGCGGAGACGAGATGGATGCTTCCGGAGAAGTCTCGGCTCCAATTGATGAAAATTATCATACTGATTGCAATGATGCTTCCAAAAATGAAAAATTGCTGCAGTGCATGCGCATGTCCACGGAGGTTGTCTCAGCAGGTTCCGAGGTTGCCGTTACCATCATTCCTGATCAGAGAAACATCAACTGCAACACAATCTGATGTATATCCTAAAGGTAATATAGTTACTAATATGGCGCAGTTGAATATACCAAACCGTCTGGATCTTAACACATTCTAAATTCTAAAGTGGATCTTCACCATGTTTCTACCGGAGGAGTGAATCAAACGTTAATCCGAGGTTATAAGTTTGTTTAACCGATCTCCTTTTTGTTAGCGGTCTAGGTCAAGTGTCCTTTCTGAATGGCAGATACTAATCAAGGTTAGTATAGAATTTCAGATGGTGCAAAACGTGGAAGAATTAACAATTAGAGGCTGGATGATGGATGCCTTTCCCATGGCAGGCTAGCTTTGGGTAATTCTTTTTGCTATGTACAGGGCAACTAGCTTAATGCCATTTGAAGGTTTTTTGTGTGTATATTTTGCGACTCTTCCATGCACTTTGTTAAATGCAAGATTTCATCATTCAGATCCACCACTAGTCTTTTTTCTTCGGTTATTTTTAATTAATAAATATAATAATGTAAAATATGTTTCCCCCCCCCCTAGTGTTTCTTCTTAAAGCATCCTTAAAAATGCATCACGTTAATGATTCTTAAGTCGAATTTGATTACAATAAATAAAGAGAATGTTTTCTGGTTTTGAGTTTAAATAATCGAGTTTGTAAGTATATATAAATAAATGCAATTGTGTAATTATCCAGATTATTTAAAAAAATCACATATATTTTTACAATTGGGTTGGAATTAGAGAAATAATTAGGGTTGCACGTTAATGAACGTTTTGAACTAGGGGTGCTTAATGAGTTCAGCATTTCGAACTTAATTCGGTCAAAACTCGATAAAAGTTCGACTCAGGTTGACTTGAATTAAGACCCTAACGAGCTGAGTTGAGCAAAGTCCAACTCGACTCGATAAGTTCGCGAGCAACTCGCTAATTTTTTCAAATAATTTTTTAGTAGTCATTTTAAAAAATTATTCCATTCAAAAATTACTAATTTACTAATAGATAATAAAAACATGATAAAATATTTAACTATTAATTTATAGTAACAATAGATTTTACCTATAGTTAAAAAAATAAGATAAAAATTTCAGTGAGTTTAACGAGCAACGAGATTAACAAGCAAGAGTCGAGCAACAAATTTTTAACGAGCACGAGTAAGGACTGTGATTTGGAATTATGGTCAACCAGTGTTCCTAAATTATTCATGTAATACTTATTTATTAAATTAAAAAAATATTTATATAATATTTACTTATTAAATTAAATAAATGAATATAAATATAATTTTTTATATTCATTTAATAAATAAAATTTGTATTCTATAATGTTTACAACCGAATTTATTTATTCATAAATAAATAAATTTATTTATTTATTAGTTTGTTAATTGATTTTCTTTTTCTTTTTATAAATTTTAAATATTATTTTAGATATGAACTAAAATGAAAATAAAATAAATTTTAGAGTTTAAAACTTAAAAAGTAAATATGTAATTGATATAATCGTAAATAAAAGAATAAAAAATAGTATAAATAATTTTTTTTGGATTTGTCAAAACGACCAACTAAATCGCAATGCGATCGATAATTCGCAACGCGATCTCCGGTATCGCAAATCAGTTTCCAGATTCGCAACGCGAACTTTGACTATCGCAATGCGAACTTGGACTATCGCAATGCGAATATGTAAATCGCAATGCGATAGTCGAAGTTCGCGTTGCGATTTATTTCAAATTCGTTGCGATAGTCGAAGTTCGCGTTGCGATAGTATTGCATTTGTTTCTTAAGAATTTTCTCTATTCGACACGTATTACCACGACCACGAGACGAGACAGACGGCGGCGGCGGCGGCGCGCGAGAGTCCCCCTTGTTCTCTATCACTCAACAAGGAAGTGGGAAAGCCAAGCCTTAAATATCATTCCCAATAGTGTTTCCAATACTATATGGGATTGAGCATTACCAACACTTGTTTCCAATACAATGTGATTATTCAGGAAACAATTAACAATCATGCACCTTAAAACAACTAAATCAACAACCAATTGCATTAGTATTATACGATTAAATATGTCATAATTAAAAGTCAATCTACAATCAATCGTGATTATTGCAATTTTAAGCAAAACATTAAAAAATAATATCACTATTTAAGGCTCAATTCCACATAGTATTGGGAACAGGTGTTGGTAATGCTCAATCCCACATAGTATTGGAAATACTATTGGAAATGATATTTAAGGCTTGGCTTTCCCACTTCCTTGTTGAGTGATAGAGAACAAGGGGGACTCTCGCACGCCGCCGCCGCCGTCGTCCGTCTCGTCTCGGGTCGGGTCGGGTCGTGGTCGTGGTCGTGGTCGTGGTAATACGTGTCTTCAACACGTCCGCACGAATATTATCTTTTTAGAGAAAATTCTTAAGAAACAAATGCAATACCACCAGTCGTTGCGATTTTGGACTATCACAACGAATTTGGAATAAATCGCAACGCGAACTTCGACTATCGCAATGCGAACTTGGACTATCACAATGCGAATATGTAAATCGCAATGCGATAGTCAAAGTTCGCGTTGCGATAGTCGAATTTGGAAAATCGCAACGCGAACTTTGACTATCACAATGCGAACTTGGACTATCGCAACACAAACTTCGACTATCGCATTGCGATTTACATATTCGCATTGCGATAGTCCAAGTTTGCATTGCGATAGTCGAAGTTTGCGTTGCGAATCTGGAAACTGATTTGTGATACCGGAGATCACGTTGCGAATTATCGATCGCATTGCAATTTAGTTGGTCATTTTGGCAAATCCAAAAAAGGTTAGTTAAAATCGTATATTATAAGGCATTTTTGGTTAATAAGGTTATTTTCTCATAATTAAATTATCTTTATATATTTTTTACCTGTCCCTCAGCGGCTTCAGTGATACAGGATTCACCACCCGCGGCGGTGGATTTAGTTATGGTGATGCCTTCATCCCCGGTAACATCCGTTTGATGATGGCGAACCACGCCTGCCCTTTGGTTGACGTTGGCTACAGTTTGCATGAAAGCCGCGGGACCACTTCTTCGCATCTGTTTGAGGATGGTGGTGTCGGCGGAATTCATGACGGAGGCATCTAGCGGTGCGATGGGTTTGGAAGCAAGTTCACCGGTGACGTTGAAAACATCACCATACTTGATGGGCTCTTCTTGATCGCGAGGCTGAGGCCTGGGTGCAGAGACAGACTCAGGACAAAAATTCAGGGGTTGCAAGAGCCCTAGGGGTGGCACTTTTGAGGGTGGTACTTGTATTAGGGGTGACACTTGTGGAGGAGTTGCCTGGGATACTCCGGGCACCATGGATGTCCGCCCCTGGATGAGGGGTTGCCTGGGATACCCCGGACACCATGGAGGTCCGCCCCTGCCTGGGTGGTGGTTGGTGGCTCATGGTTTCGTTTGATCTCGTGTGTTTGTGTTAAAGTGTCGAGATTGAGGAAAGAGGAATGAAACAATGACGGTGGTGGTGGAGGTGCTTTAAGGACGGAGCCGCTTGTTCAGTGCGGCATAAAAGTACAACAATAATGGTCACCCAGGAGCCTCCTTGTTTAGACAACGTGGCTTGGAATTTCAAGTGTTAGCATTCGAAACAGACGTATGGAACCACTAAGCCAGATGGTACATATAAGAGGTGATGATCGGAATCCGCTACCAAAATATTGGTTGTTATATAAAACTAACAATATCATTTGAAATTATTATTGTATAATTCTGTTACTCATAATAACGGTGATGAAACATGTTAATTATAGTTAAGGTTAGGATCAGTTTTAAAAAAATAAAATAATATTTAAAAAAAATATATTTAATTATTGTTTTAAAAAAACAATATAATAAAAAAATAAAATTACAATCGTGATTTATATCTTTAATTATAGTTAAGGTTAGGATCAGTTTTAATTTTATATTTTTAGAACAATTGAATTAAGAAGAGCTAAAAGTTGAAATATATTTTCTTATCTTAATTATAGTTAGTGAATACAATTGTTCTTTTAAAAATTTTAATTTTTCACATGATTTGAATATATTTTTTATTGATAATTTAAATTAATATTTAAAAAAAATTAAATTTATATCCTTAATATAAAATTTATTTGTTTTTATGTGTATAGCTCTCACAACATCATTTGGCCGGTGATACGATAGTTTACAAATAGAGGTGTACATAAATCAAACTTAAACGAATAATGTTATATTCGTGTTCGTTTATTTATTTTTGAAGGCATTTATATTTGATTCATGTTTGTTTTAAATTTTTTTATACAGTCTTCAGAGCCGGCTTTAAAGGCAAGCACCCTGAGCGACTGCTCAGGGCTCCACTTTTTAGTTTTATTATTAAGGGTTTCTAATTTTCTTAATTTTATAAAATAGTCTATATTTTTATTTTTTTAATTGGGGAACCATAATTTAATAATTTTTCTATAGTTTATTAATGTAATATTAAACTAATTGTTTAAAATAATATAGTCTATTGCCTAGAAGTTACAATAGAATCTTGAAGATCACATCAACATTTCAGATTCAAAGAAACCTTGAACTTCTAGATTAAAACATGCATCGACATAAATTCAGTATAAATCTAGGTTCAAAAACATTGATTCATAACAAAAGCAAATATGCAGGTTTAAATGTCGAAAACATATAAAACATAAAATCCCAAAATCCATACGAGTGTCTAAAAAATCAACAAAAAAAATAAATAACATAAAGTATTAAAAAAACATTCATACAATGACTGGAAAGAAAATGGGTTACTGAACGATCCTCTAGGTATTGATCGTAATCCTAAAGGTCGAAAGGATCTAAAAAGACAGAAACTAAAAGAGTAAGCTAAAGGCCCAGTGTGTCCTCTACAGTAAAACATGTATCAATATTATATATATATATATATATATATATATATATATATATATATATATATATATATATATTTATAACAATACTAATAACACGTAAATAATAACATTGTAATTTATTCATTGATCTTAATCCTATAGGACCTTTCGCCGTGAAGAGTCAGAATGGGGATATTCCTCCGAGGAGGATCCCAGTCAGAAATATAAACATGATGTGTATTTAACCCTCCGATTCGGATCCCAACCAGAAACAATACGTAAAACATAGTCCCATGCAGAATCAGGATGGAGAACATAATCCCATGTAGAATCAGGATGGGGAATATAGTCCCATGCAAAATCATGAATGCATTAATGTACAGATTTAAATGATGCAACAATAATTATGAAACATTCACAATATAGATACAAACCATCAAAATATGCACAGACAATAACATTCAACATTGTTGCAAACAATATCAAATGTAACATATAGGTCAAAGGGACACACCTATAGCAACTAATTGATACTGG